ATTTTTAATATTCCTCTATTTTAGAGTCCATGCCTCAACACCGTAAAGCAAAGTACTGAATATATAGCATATTAACATTCTAGTTCATAGATGAATACTCATATCACGATTACAAAATAGTTTTTTCATTTTTATAAAGGTAGACCTGGCAATTTTAATACGTCTTTTTATCTCGTGATTTTGGTCACCTGTTTCATTGATGAGGGTTCCCAAGTATTTGTATTCGCTTACTTTTTCAAGTTGAGTACCGTTTATTGCGATACTAGTGTCACGTATTGGATTCTTACTGAAGGTCATATATTTGGTTTTTTTGACGTTCATCCTTATGCCGTAGTTATTACATATCTCATTTAAACTTTCAACTAGATGTTGTAGATCTTCCGCTGTTCTTGTCATTACAGTATCACATATCGTCAGTATATCGAATGTTATTGATAACTTCTCCATTGACTATTATCCCTTCGTTTGCATATGAGAGAGCTTCTTGGCATATTTGTTCGCTGTAGATATTAAACAAAAGCGATGACAATATACAACCCTGCCGTACTCCTCTACGTATTTCTATTTCGTCCGATGTTTGGTCTTCTATTTTTATATTAGCTTGTTGATTCAAGTACAAATTTAATATTATTTGTATGTCTTTGGTGTCGATGTTCTTACTTTCCAGGATTTCTTTGAGTTGATTGTGGCGTACTTTGCGAAAGGCCTTTTCAAAGTCTCTAAAGCAAGCATGTACCTCTTGGTTAACATCTAGACATCTCTGTGTTAGGACATTTAAGGCAAAGAGAGATTCTCTTGTGCTTAATCCTTTTCTGAATCCCATCTGTGTATCGTTAATATTGATATCTAACTTTTGATAGATTCGATTGTGAATGACTCTAAGAAATATTTTAAGCAAATGACTCATCAAAGAGATTGTTCGATGATCTAAACATTGCATTGCCTTAGTTTTTTTCGGTATGGTGACAAACGTAGACAGCAACCATTCTTGAGGTATTATTCCAGTACTGTATATTGTATTGAATAGATGTAATATTATGGTTACAGATGTATCATTCAAAAGCTTCAACAGTTTTGTAGGATATATGTAGTTCAATAGGAGACTTTAACATCGAAATCGTTAAAAGTTTTACATATCTAGGTTCACTAGTTACCGCAGATAACACTATCAGTGAAGAAGTTAAGAGAAGAATACATATCACTAATAAAACGTATAATGGACTGATTAAACATCTAAGATCTAACAACATCACAAGAAAAACCAAATGCAAAATATACAAGACTCTGATAAAACCAGTCCTTGTATATAGATCAGAGACATGGATACTGTCGAAAAGCGATGAGAACCTATTAGGTACATTTGAACGAAAAATCCTTAGATACATATATAGGGGGTAAAGTAAAATGGCATATGGCACAGAAGATATAACTTTGAATTATACACAGCATACAATGAACCCGAGATCATAGCATTCATAAAGATTGGACGTCTGCGCTGGATGGGCCATGTTTAACGGATGTTGGAGGCTGAAGCGCCAAAACATATAATGAGGCAAACACTAGTAGAGAGAAGGTCAAAGGGAAGACGTAAACTTAAATACATGGAACAAGTGGAACAAGATCTGAAAACACTTAAGATTATCAACTGGAAAAACAAAGCAAGGAACAGAACAGAATGGCGGAAAATCCTAGAACAAGCCAGGACCCAAAAAGGGTTGTCGAGCTACTGATGATGATGACAGACAAAATGTCATTTAAACTCCACGGGCAAGGGGCACTATACTTTTGCTGTAAGCCCACAGGATATTGTTCCAACCTCTAAAGCAAATATTATCAAACGAGAAAACAAGCAAAAAAGGAACAGCTTCAGTTTTGACCTCAAGCCCTTTTAAGATGGAACTAGTAGCTGTAAAAAAAAAGAAGGAAAGGAAAGGTTTAAGAAAATAAAGCTGGAACTGAAAAAAGGAAGCAAAGTAACAAGAGGAATGAAGAAAGCAAAGAAAAATTTAGAGGAAAGCAGAAAACGTGATCAAAATCAGCGAAGCGAGCTTTATTTACTTACTCGAACAGTGACGTGACGTGACTTATATTCTAAGTCAAAGGAAAATAAAGGATGGACAAAATGATGGGCTGTTTACGATGGACACATGAAGCTTGTGCTGGGTGTGAAGAAGAAGACAATGACTTTATTTACAATGTTTGTAAATAAACTCGGCGTGAAACTTTTTTCTACGATGGCAATAATGTTTTTATTCTGAAAATACACTTTTATTGCACCCCACCTGCAGGGCAAAGTAGTCATTTGGTAGGGTTAGTATACATCGTGAATTAATGATGAATTAAGAATGAATTAATAATCAACGAACAAGAATTACTCCAAACATGGCAAGAATATTTCAAAAATTTACTTAATATACACCAAGATGAAGAACATGGAGAGGATATATACCTTGGGGTGGACCTACCGGTAGAGTACCCAAAAATAGACGAAACATTGCAAGCAATTAACAAATTGAAGAACGCAAAAGCTTCAGGCTCTGACAATATACCAGCCGAATTTCTTAAGTACGGAGGAGAAACTTTACATAGACAATTACACAAACTAATAACACTTATATGGAACGAAGAGAAAATACCAACAAAATGGCATGAAAGTGTAATAATTCCTATCCATAAAAAGGGAGACAAAACCAAGTGCTTTAACTATAGAGACATCTCCCTACTTAATACGGTGTACAAAATCTTATCGAACATCCTATTAAGTAGACTAACACTAACACCTTTTGTAGAAAATTTCATAGGGGAATACCAAGTTGGATTCAGAAAAAATAGATCGACCATAGATCAGATTTTTACTCCTAGGCAGCTGCTTGAAAAAGGATGGGAATTCAATAGAACCATTCATAATCTCTTCATAGATTTCCGACAAGCATACGACAGCATTAAAAGGGATCAGATGTGGAATGCAAAGTCAGAACTTTCAGTTCCAAAAAACTTATCCAGCTCGTTAAAGTTTTGTGTAAATGGCTGTAGATCTAGAGTGCGGATAGGTAACAAGCTCTCAGAGTCGTTTGAAATAAACAGTGGACTGAAACAAGGAGACGCGCTGTCACCTCATCTTTTTAATATAATCCTGGAAAAAGTAGTAAGAACCGCATAAATTAGAACAGAACTACTGACAGTAAATGAACCAAAATTACTACTAGCATACGCGGATGACATTGACATTGTAGGAAATACCGTCACCAATGTAAAAGAAACCTTCAATAAATTAGAGAGAGAGGCAAAAAATACCGGTCTAAGGGTCAATGAAGAGAAAACCAAATATATGTGCATTAACAGACAAAATAAAAACGAGATAGAATTCAACAAAATGTAACAATAGACCCCTATAACTTTGAAAGAGTGGAGAGTTTTAAATATCTCGGAGCTACTATCACCACAGATAACGATATCACGGAAGAGATAAAAGGGAGAATTCAGGCAGCAAACAGATGTATGTATAGCCTCCACAACACTATTAAATCCAAGAGCCTAACACGAACATCAAAAATCAGGATATATAAAACAGTAATTAGACCGGTGCTCATGTATGGGTGTGAGACGTGGACGCTGACAAAAGTAAACTCAGATGCTTTGAGAGAAAAATCCTTAGAAAGATCTTCGGTCCCTATCACGATCCGAATACTAACCAATACCGAATGAGAACAAATGCCGAGGTCAAACAAATGTATAGTGCCAGCGACGTAGTCCAAGAGATTAAATCCCAACGTCTAAGATGGGCTGGTCATGTTCATAGGCTACCTAATAACCGCCTTACCAAATTAATCTGGGAAGAAGTCCCGACAGGGAGAAGGCCCTTAGGACGTCCACGAATGCGATGGAGAGATAATATATGGTCAGATTTGAGAACAATGAGGCTACCCACTGACTTAAACATCATGGACGACCGTTCGAGATGGAAGCAGGTTGTGCAGTCAGCCAAGACCCACCCCGGGTTGTAGTGCTACCAGAAGAAGAAGAAGTATACATCGTATGTTAATATCTAGTGTATTTCGTATGTTCTTTAAGATAAAAAAAATGCCTTGCCATGACCACTTTGCCCACCCTTCCCCTACATACACAGATTACATCAAATAGTTACTCTCTAACGTAAGATTTGTATTTTGATTTAAATTAAATACATACATATTTTTGTTTAATTCACAAATATACTACTATATAGTTAAAAATTATATATATATATATATATATATATATATATATAATATATATATATATATATATATATATATATATATATATATATATATATATATATAGAAAAGAAATTTAATCTTTGCAGATAAGTTAAATAGTAATATTTTTAATATAAACTTTTACTATTTAAGAATATATATATATATATATATATATATATATATATATATATATATATATATATATATATATATATATATATATATATATATAAGGATCACTCAGACGAGTGGTGGGTTCTTATATCGGTCTCTAGGTGGAGAAATAAAAGACAAAGTTGATAGGCTACTTTATCTATTTGAAGACGTTTCGCTTTCGAGTTTTGAAAGCATCATCAGTTCATCTAAAAAATTATTACAATATGAGAACCACACAATCATGGAAACGATGTTAATTGTTACCTTAAAAAGATATGTAGATAAGGTAACAATTAACATCGTTTCCATGATTGTGTGGTTCTCATATTGTAATAATTTTTTAGATGAACTGATGATGCTTTCAAAACTCGAAAGCGAAATGTCTTCAAAATAGATAAAGTAGCCTATCAACTTTGTCTTTTATTTCTCCACCTAGAGACCGATATAAGAACCCACCACTCGTCTGAGTGATCCTTATATATATTGGATTGACGGTCGTACTCCTTTTTCCGATATATATATATATATATATATATATATATATATATATATATATATATAAGGTTTTTTACTTAAATATTATTTAATGATATGATGACTTACTTTTTCGAAAATATGTCCTTCATAAGACCATCCACATTCGGTCCAGAATGACCACTTGAATCACTTTGACTCTCCATCGGGAACTGCTCTTTTGGTTTATTCGATTGCAAATGAGACTGCAAATATCACTACCATATGGAAGAATAATAATAAATGTCAATATTGTTATGTTATCTGCAAGGTAAATAATTATTTATATTGAATATATTGAAACCAATATTAAATATTAGATATTAGCAACTCGGTGTCTATCAACAATTTTTTAGAACTGTGGAAGTAATTATCTTGTGTGTAATTTAGATAATGTTATCAAAATTGCTAAAAGAACTACTTAAAATGATAAAATTGTTTTCTGATAAGTGTTGTAGGTGAAATTGAAAAGTGTGTTTTTGAACTAATTAGGTTAAAAAGTATTCTACTGTCTCTGCAGTAATTAATTCGATATATAAATCATCACTTCATCACTCCCCTGTAACGGACACTGTTAAACTCGGACAAGAAAATGAAGACGGTGACTCATTTTCACTCATCATTTAATTTTGGTTAAAATACTGTACCAGGTGCAGTTTATAATATGAGGTTTACAAGACCTATACACCGACTGTAACTGCTTGAAAATCTTCTGATTACCCTTCGTATCAACCGTGATATTGAGTAAAGCCGCGTTTACACGATGACAATTGGCGGGACAATAGCTATTTATTTTATAGCAGATTGCGGATTGTCGGAGGCCAGTCCAGTTGAACGAGAAGATGTTTATACGGAGCCAACTATTGTCATGCCAGCAGACAGCTACAAATAACACAAACCACGTATATGTTTTGACTGACACCAGAGAACTAGAGGCAACTGACAAAAAACAAGACAACACTACTGGCCTACACCGTTCACACGGCGCCAATTGTCGCGACGGTTGAGATTTCGAATGGTGGGGGGCTCACTGGGCGCAGTTCATTGTCCCAAGACAATAAAGTCGCGTTTTCACGATGGCAATTGGCGAGGCAATTGTCAGAAGACAACTGACTGGCATGAAATTATTGTCTTCGTGTAAACACTTCAGGCCAATTGCCTTGCCAACTGCCCTCACAATTGGCCCAAAATTCAGTTGTCTCCGGGAGTAGACTGAGGACAATGAGCTGCGCCCAGTTAGTCCCTCCACCACTCGAAATCTCAATTGTCGCGACAATTGGTGCCGTGTGAACGCTGTAGGCCAGTAGTGCTGCCAGTAGTAATTTGTGTTATTTGGGTTAAATTTAATTTTCGTACAATGAACATAACCTATAGATATGTTTGACGTTAAATGTAAGCTTAATATACGTCAGTGTTGACATATACTCAATTTAAAATGATGGGCAAGATTTATATATATGAAATGAAAATTTAAAATTTAAAAATACATATATAATTAAACAAAAACGTGAAAAATACATATATAATTAAAAGCCTTAAAATTATACCTATAAATATAAAATAAAATTATATTTTACATTTAAAATACTTATATAATAAAAACCATTAAAATTATGCTTAAGGTAAAAATTAATAGTTTAGAAACTTTAAAAACTACAGAATAAAGTAAAGTTAAATGAAAATAAAAAAAATTAGGTTAAACCGTTGATTGAATTATTCAATTGGATTATTCAATCAACGGTTAAACATAAGAATACACTAAATACTTATATATTTAAAGTAAAAAATACTATTTTATGAATGCTTTTTAATATAAATTCAAAAATTGTGGCTTCTCATAACAAAACATTATATAAAAATTAATGGGAAAGTCCCAGTAGTTGGCTGTATACCATCGTTTAAAAAACTTATACAGAAGTAAAACACTTCACATTTATCTAAGTATATACCTAAATACAAGTGTGAAGCATTTTACTTCTGTATAAGTTTTTTAAAACATTATATACAATTTCGTCAAAGTATCTGTCTATTTTAAAAGCTCCTATACTTTATACAAAAAAATGTGGCAACACTGTGAGGCACAAACATATAGTTGTCATGTTTTAGCTGTCTACTGCCATGGCAATAGAGGAGCGATTAATTACAGGGACCCGATCCGTCAACTGCGCATGTGCGAGACGACTGCGTTCGAAATATTTCGAATCTTCAAATGAAAATGTTAAGCGGTAATAACGGTATCTTGCCCTGTCGAATAAAAATTGTTTTAAATAGTTTCCTGTTTACGTAAGTTGTAAATATGTCAGTGAACTGTTTTGAATGTGGTAAAATTTTCTCAAATCAGTTTTTAACTTAAATAAACATATAAAAAATATACATGGTAAACTTTCTACGCCGATGTAATATGCGGAAAATGGGCATTTAATAAGTGTCTGACATATTTCCAGTAGCTTTTTTTTTTCAAACCGAAAGGACTCATATATTAATGAAGTTTATTTTACAGAAATTATGAAAGTTGTTGAAAAAATACAAACACTCTGTTTTATGTCGGACATTACTTCAGTTTTTTATGGAAGAGTATTGAAGAATTAAGCTATTTTATACCAGAATGTTATTTAAATTTACTTCATTAATAATTTCTTTACTTTCAATAACAATAAATCAATTTAAGTTTATAATAATACTTATATAATAATTTATTATAATCCCTATTTTCACTCATAAATGTGTTGTAACGGGTAGCTCTTTCAGGACGACAGACTCAGTAAAACACAGGTTAAAATAAAAATATGTCTATTGATCTAATATATGTACAATATATATGAAAATAAAATAAAATAAATCCTGTGCCGTAGAACTTAACTCTGCGCTCCGTCTGGATCCCGCGATGAATGAATCCCCGGCGGCCGCCTATAAAAGAAAGAAAGAAAATAATTATTAATAACAAATAAAATAGGTGTAGTCAATCGCACTCAGACGTATATTCGCTTCCGCTTCAAACCAGCGGGAGCTGCGAACACACTCGTCAACTACAAAATCGCTTATGCAGGTCCGCGATAAAGTTCAAGACACGATATCGGTAGACTTTGCTTAATTATGGACGGAGCATGAACTTCAAAGCAGAACTACCTCCGTCCGGGTGGGCTCGCCAGTTCAGGACACTGGCGAAGAGAGGAGCCTAAGGCGCTAAGCCAAAGACTGAATAAATGCCGCTATTCATATGCCTTAAATAGTTGCTCTGAACCCCACTCACATCGTGCTAAGGAGGTGGAAGCGCCAACGCTGACACTCCTACGGTTCAAGCTGTTGAACGGTGATGACATCGTTACACCCCCTTCTCTTTGGAAAAAAAAAAAAGTAGCATACCCTTTTTTTTTGTATATGGCGTCTACAGCCTTGTAATGCCATTTATCCCTCTTGGAATCTTTATTACGATCTTCTTCCTGTTGTTGCAGTACAATCTGTATCTTTTGGTCCCCCTCTCTATTAGGTGTTGTGGGACGATCTCTACAAGATCGGCGTGTCTCCCGGGTTCTGGTTCGCCTGGAGTGGATGCCGACTGTGCTTCAGGTCCGGTTATCGTATCGGGTACGCTTTTCTTCTTCGGTGGTGTTGGTGGTGTCCCAAACAGTTCGTGGAATCTTTTCAACATTCTCTCTGCGTCTTTTCCTGGTGTCACGGGCAGTTCGGGTTTCTCTGGCGTTCCCAGAGGGGTCATCTGTTCTGGTATCTCTAGTATGTCTTCCATGTTAGATGTGGATGAACTGAATTTTGCTTGCTAGCACCGCTCTTTAAATACCGTTTGGATGTGGTGGGGATTCGATTTGCGTAATGACATTTTCCCCCACCCAAGGTTTTAAATCTTTTACGTGTGCCGTTATCTGCTTGCGGGTATTTCTATCGGCCAATTTCAGTTTTACTATTACTGGTGATATTACTGACGTTACTACGTATGGCCCTGAGTACTTCGGCGCTAGTTTGCTGGTGAAACCTGCACTCGCCGACGATAGATGGTGTTCCTTTTTCATGACTCGATCTCCTGGATGTGGTCGCCAGTCTCTTCGTCTTAGATCGTAATGTTTCTTTTGGTCCTCGAAAGCGTGTTCCATGTGCACTTTCGCCAGTTCTCTTAACGCTTCTAACTTGTTCAAGTTTTCTGCATACCCCTGTATATCTTGTCCACTTGTCGCCTCTGTTGTGTCTAATTCTCTTCCGAAATTAAGCAGCGCTGGTGAAAACCCTGTTGAATCGTGTCTTGACGAATTTACGGCGTAGCAGAATTCTGGTATGAATTTGTCCCAGTCTTTATGGTTATCTTCTACGTATGTGGCTATCATCGTTTTCAGTACTTTGTTCATTCGTTCCACTGGATTGCCTTGAGGTGAGTACGGCGGTGTTAGAATGTGATTTATGTTATAGGACTTTAGGAACGCCTTAAAATTGCTGCTTGTGAACTGCGCGCCGTTGTCCGAAATGATTTTCGTCGGGATGCCGAACTGCATAATTACCTTCGATCGTAAAGTGTCGATGATGGAGTTCGTAGATGCTGCTCTTATTGGCTGGGCAACGACCCATTTGGTAAACCGGTCTTGCGCGACTATTAAGAAAATGTTTCCTTTTGCAGATCTTGGGAATGGTCCCATTAAATCAACTGAGACAGTATGCCAAGGCTTTTCTACAGTGGACGGTTGCATTTTCCCGGCTGGTTGCATTTGAGACGGTTTATATTGGAGGCACTTCGTACAAGCTCTAACGTAGTCTGCGATTTGTTTAAACATCTTAGGCCAATAGTACTTTTGCGCTATTCGGCAAATTGTTTTTGCAATTCCTAAATGGCCTGCTGTGGTCGAGTCATGATTTTCCTCCAAAATATCTTTCCTTTTATATCTTGGTACGCATAACTTCCATGGGTTATTAAACTCTGGGTCGGCTAAATTACGGCTGCTCCAAATGTGTTTATATAACTTCCCGTTTGTTATTTGTAGATCCGGGAAATCGTCTGGGTTCTGGAGTACATTTCTATATAAATTATCGTACCAACTGCATGATTCCAATTCTGATGCTAATAATTCCAACTCTGGTTCTTCGCTCTGGTTCTCCTGTGGTTGTCGTGACAAAGCATCTGCTACCTTGTTGAGGACTCCCTTTCTATATATTACCTCAAAATCGTACTGTTGCAGTTCTAAACTCCACCTGGCTAATCGACCTGACGGGTTCTTAAGGTTCTTCAGCCATTTGAGGGACTGATGGTCTGATATGACCTTAAAATTGTATCCTTCTATATATGGCCTCATTTGCTTTATCCCGTATACGATGGATAGACATTCTTTTTCCGTTGTGGAATATTTTGTCTCGGCCGGTGTGAGGGTTCGACTAGCATATGCGATTA